AAAACTATCTTGACAATCATGTACTAGGATCTGAGGGGACAGGATAGAAATATGGCAAATATTCATGAGGAAGTGTGTAGACAAAGCCAAGATCTGAGAAACCCAAGGAGGGCACCAGATGTGCATCTGGGGCAACCAACAGCAGCCTGAGAGCAGCAGTGTCTAGGGGCAGAAGGAACAGGAAATGAAGTTCAGAAAGACTCCAAGGGAAGTTTTTCTCTTAATGATTTTCTTGGGATCAACCCTGAAAATAACCTCCAGCAGTAGATGAAGGTCTGGAAAATGGATCTTTAAGTGTATGTGAAGATTTATTTTTATACCTTAATGAAAATTTTTCACTGAGTGGCCTATATTTTCATCTAATTAATGTTTGAACAACAGAAACCTCAAATAGTAAGCACATTTTAGAAATACACAAAGAGAAGAAATACTCATGATAATGATCCTTGAAATAATATAAGACCTTGAAGTACCTTAAGAATTACAAAGAAATATTATAATATTATTATTATAGTTTTAAGAATAAGCTTATTTTACTGTATCTCAACATTTATAAATTGACAGTCTCTTACTTTTTAAAAAATTCGATAAATATCCATTGAGTCTCCATTCTTCCAGTTACTATGCTAAGCCACCAGAATACAGTAATACTTAAGACACACACTTCCTGTTCTGATAGAGCTTTAAGTAAAATGGGGACAATAAAAATGTACACACAGACAAAATAAACTGTGAACTAGGGAATAATGAGGCAAAGACATTTCTTGGTCAGATAAGGATTGGCTCTTCCATTTGGTAACATTTAAATTGAAAAATGAAGGATGAATAGGACCCAAATGTTCCATGGTGAGGAAATAGCATTCACAATAACCTTGAGGTTGAAAAGAGCCTGAAGATTTGAGGAACTGACATCAGAGAAGAGAATGGTATCACATGATGCTGGAGAGGTAGGTAGGAGTCTAATTATTCAGGGCTCTTGGGTCATAGAAAGGTTTTCAAATCACATTCACTGTGCAATGGGAAACCATTACAGAGTTGGAAGCACAGAATGACATGATCCAACTTTCACTTTAAGAAAAGTTCATTGGTATGTAAAGAATGAATTTGGTCAACAGTCAATAATGGTGGGGGGAACCAGTTAGGAAGATTTTGAGGGGTACAGACCAATCTGATCTAAACTAGGGTGGTAGCAGAGGAAATGCAAGCAATGGATGGATTTAATATGTGTTTGGGGTTATGCTGACTTGACTTGTTGGTTTTAATGTGGGAGATGGAGATAAGGAAAAAAGAAAAATCAATGTAATGCTTGGGTTCTGGTTTGAGCATTTTAATGAATTGTAATTATTGATATTATAAAGAACATGAAAGGAGCAAGTTGTGATTGGGAATCAACAGTATAACCTGAATTATTAGGTTATGGAAATCCAAGGAGCATCCTAAAAGGGACAATTGAATAGGTAGCTAGATACATAGTTTGGACTTTACAGAAGAGGTCTAGACTAGAGATGTGCATTTTAGATTCATCATCTTACAAATACCATTTAATGTCAAAAGAAAGGTGAATTGCCTAGAGAGATATTATAAAGAGAGAGGAAAGAAGAGCCCACAGATCCAATATTAAGTAATCAGATAGAAAAAACGGTCTGAGAAGGGAATTTAGAAGGGAATTCCAGACATTATGAGGTAAGGGAGCCCATTAGGAGCAAGGGCTTGCTGGAGGGAATGGTCAGCTATTGGAAAAATACTAATAATTGAGTTGTAAGAGAGAAGGAAGGATTTTCCTATCAAGTTCTTGTTGAACCAGTGAGAGACATGTCAATGGAATGGTGAGATAAAAATTCTTTAGTAACTAGAAAATATGGTCAATGAAGCATAAAATCTTATACTTAAAATACTCTGGATAAATTTGAAGCTAAGTGCTACCATCCTCTAAGTGGCTCAAAAAAATTGGAGAGGTCAAAATTGAATTTGCATGCTACAGCTTTATAGCTCTCTGGTTCTTGGGTGCTGTAATAGGAGCCAAAGCTTCAATGAACACAAATTTCTGCAATGCTTTGGTACTTCTCTATTTTTAAAATATCAAATCAACTTTAATCTGAAGAGACAAGTTTAACTGTAAATTTCAACTGAAATGTTTATTAGTATGTGTAGAAAACAATTGTAATTGCAGGTAACTTTAGAACACTTAGTTTGTTCAAGGCGACATACTATGCAATTTCTGTACATTACATGACTTACTCGTTGTACTCAAGTTGCAGACAAATAAACTTAGAAAAGTTCTATAACTCACTCAAAAGTATTACTCAGAAATGGCAGAACCCAAACATGAAACCACGATTTTGCGTTTGTGTGTTGGTGTATGTGCACTACTGGGAATTGACTCAGTGGCAGTGGTACTTTATACTGAGCTAGGTTCCCAGTCCTTTTCATATTTTAAATTTTGAAACAGGCCTTGAACTTGTGATACTCATACTTGTGTGTCCCAGATCACTGTGATTACATAAGTAGGCCACAATTCCCAGTTGAAATCATGATTTTTTAACCACTATGTTTTATTGCTAATTTATTGGCCAATAGAAATCACTTCAGTTAAAAACATGACACAGGTCTCTCTGGAAACTAAATCACTATTTGATAGCTCATTTATTTGAAATAGAATTATTTTTTAACAGTTACTAACTGACATGAAATAACAAGGTAAGTTTGCAGTCATATGAGGATTGGGACTATATCTAGATGAGGAAATTAAAGAGAAAAAGGATAAAACTAGCTGTTTGATATTTAGAACCACAGTTTTAATATTCCAATTGCTGCTGCTTCTAGCTTTTCATCCAGAAATATCTAAAATCTTGAATTAATTTTAAAATGCTGATCCTAGAGCATTTGGCACATGTAGAATACATAAAAAATGGTGGCTTTGTTGTTGTTGTTTTTTTATAGAGAGAGTCTATTAACAGAATTTAGACATTGGTATGATGAATTCTTTTATATTTTATTCTTCATTAAATTTTGAATGATGGCAAATAAGTAGAATAACATTTATTTGCATATTTAGAACTCTTGAATGGCTATTCTAGTAATACCGCAATTGTCAAATACACTGAGGGAGTCATTATATTGTAATTGCCATTTATTTCCATTTTCCACTAGAGGGATTTTATTTACTAAATCTTTTATTGTAATACTTTTAGAGTAGGAATGTAATTCAGAAAGACTATTTAGGATATAACACATTATTATTTTAACTCGTGATTGAACCCAGGGGTGCTTTGCAACTAAGCTACATCCTATGCTTTTACTTATTTGTTTTTTTTTTTTTTTAAAATTTTGAGACAGGGTCTAGCTAAGTTTTGGAGAGTTTCCCTAAGTTACTGAGGCTATCCTTGAATTTGAGATCATCCTGCTTTCTGAATCACTGGGGTTGCAGGCACGTGTTACTGTGCCTGATCACAACGCATTAATGTTAAATATGATGTCAATGGCAGACTCAGGCAAAGTAGGCATTACATATATCCATTTTTCTCTATAAATGGAGTTAAAGAATACTTTTCACATGTACAGTAGTCACTCTAGTAGTAATTATTCAACCTAGTTGACAATATAATTGTTTTTAGAAAGTACAGTTTCAATTAAGCCCAAATATGTAAAACTAATATTCAGAAGAAAAAAAGATTATAAATAATAGTAATATATTTAAAATGTGAATCATTTATATGACACCAAAGGATAGGCAATAAGGGAAAAACAAATGAACTACATTAAAATAACATCTCTGTATATCAAGGGACACAGTCAACAGAGTGAAAAGGAAACCCACAGAATGGGAGAAAATATTTACAAATCATAAAATTTTAAGTGGTTAAAACCCAGAATATGTAAGATTAACTTCAACTTAACCACAAATAAATAACTGGATTAAAAAAATTGGGAAAGGATTTGATTAGACATTTTTCCAAGGAAGATATACAAATGACCAAAAAGATGTTGAACATCATTAACAATAGGGAGATGTAAATAAAAACCACTAGTACATCTTAAACCCACTAGTACAGTATCTGTCAAAAAGAAGGAAGGGTTATAGAGAAACTATAACCCTTGTACATTGTTGGGGGGAATATAAAATTATCAGCTGTAATGTAAAACAGAATGGTGATTCCTCAGAAAATTTAAAAAAGAATTACCATGTGATCCAGCAATTTCACATCTGGGTACATAGCCCAAATAATTGAAAGTAGGGATTCAAACACAGATTTTTACTTTCATGTTCACAGCAGATAATTCACACTTAAAGATGTGAACAACCCAAATGTCCAATGGCTAATGGATAAATAACGTGTTGTATTTGCATAAAACAGAGTATCACTGCCTACAAAAAAAGAAAGAAGAAAATCTGACACATACTACAACATGGATGAACTTTTAGAACAGTATACTGAATGAAATAAAGTCACAAAAAGACAAAGACTGCATGATTCTCTTTATATGAGGTACCTAAAACAGTCAAATTCATAGAGGCAGAAAGAATGATAGCAGGGAGAGGGGAATGAGAAACTGTCATTTAATTGATATAGAGTTTTAGTTTTGTTAAGATGAAAAGAGTTGCAGAGATGGATGATAGTTATGGTTACAGAGCAATGTGAATGTACTTAATTCCCCTGAATTAAAAATGGCTAAGAATATAAATTTTATGTGCATTTTATATAATTTTTTAAAATAACAAAAATATAAATCATTGTAAGTGGTGTAAATTTAAAAACTTTTAAAGGAAGATAATTTGTATTAAATTGATATATAACTACAAACTAACTTGAAAATATTTTCCAAGCTCTTTCATTAGAGATTAGGTATGTATTGATATATAATTACATATATATTTATATATGCTCTTGTATAATTATATACAGTGTAAAAATCTATTTTCTCTTTGGTGATGTTGATTTTCTGGATATGATGAAGCATAATATAATAAACTCAATTTAAAAATTTTTTTTTCATTGCAGAACTGTGGCCACTTGTTCACATGGTTTCAAGACACAATGAGGCGCACTGGCTCTTGGAAGCTTTGGCCTTGGGTGGCAGTGTTCCTGCTTCCTGCTTCTACTTCCGTGACGGTTAGGGACAAGCCAGGTATCCAAGTGATCTCTTTGTCCAATTGCCAAATGTTATTTATAGTCAGTCAACCATTTAAAAAAATCATTAAAACAAATCTTGTTAAGGTTAAAGCAGCTATAGATTAGATCTACTAGTATACAATAAATACAAATTTGTTGTTTTCCACCACTGTCCTTCACATAATTCTCATTATCTCATTTTTAAATATGCAAATTGTGCATAGAACTAACCTTTCCTCTCTCTCACTGATATTTACAGATATAAATATATGCATGTATGTCTGTATGGGCATAGATATGATAATGTCTCTCCTTTTTCCCTTTAAGAGTTACTATTTCAAGTTATAAGTACAGAAACTCATCACTAATTAGGATTAAAGAGGACATGTTCTAATCTCAATTGGGGAATGTAAAAATAGAATAGGAAATATAAAACAAAATGTAGTTTAATTACATGTCAATTTTATAGTATCTCAGAGGAGGAAAACAAAAGTTGACAGATCTTCAGAGTATCTTTTGAACTAAATAGACAATATTTATTTGCAATTGTTAAATTTATGGGTTTTCTCATAAAATATTTCCAAAGGGCTTAGAAGGCAATTTGAAACATTGAAACATTTACTTCTATCTCTGACTAATTTGGAAGACTTTTCTTGAACATTGAGTACATATAAATTACTGTGCTAGATGTACTTCATATTACAAAGTAGAATCAGACACATTGGAGTTCACTACAGAAAGAGAAACATAGCCCCTCCTTCCATGCAAAGGATCACACAACATGTTTGATGAGCACATGTGGTGATGTGCCTTGAGTCTTACTGTATTTATTCTTTTCAATATTTCTTCAATAATTTTTGCTAAACAGGAATAAAGTTATTTTAATAAAGACTTTTGAGTTTAAGGCACGCATAAAATAAAAACAACCACTTGTAAAGATAAAACAAATCTAATTTTTCAGGGTTTTATGGAAGTCCTTATGATGTTTCATTAATTTAGCAGAGGTATGTTTCCTAAAATAGTCCACTTGAGAGTTTGGATATTATATTACTATATATTAAATGATATCACAAGGCTGTCATATAATCTTGGGGGAAAATTCTTTCTTCAGTGAGAAATAAATGAGAAGTGACTCAACTATAGGCATGCTCAAAAAGAAAAACAAAAAGATACATAGGACTGGGAGTATATTCTGATAATATTACTGCTCTTATAAATTTACCTGTCTTTAACGAACACTAAGTAAGGCGCTTTGCAATTTAATCAAGGAGGGTAGGATTTTAGTTAGAAAGGGTAATAGTTCTTTTGTTGACAGGACAGTTTTTTGAACACATGCTAGTTTGTGATAAAGTTTCTTTTCTTTTTTTTTTTGAACAACAAATTTAATAAACTTGGTCTAATGAACACATTCCAATTTTACAAAGGAAATTTTTTATACCTTTATTTATTTATTTTTATGTGGTGCTAAGGATCGAACCCAGTGCCTCATACATGCTAGGCAAAATGGCCTACTACTGACCACAATCCCAACCCGAGAAGAGACATTCTTTTCAAACATTATGATACATTTTACAATTCTCAATTGTATGATTCCTCACCTGTGATAAAGTTTCTTGATAATAGTTATTTGAAAGGTCTACATAAATTGTTCTAGATCAAGCAAGAATCACCAAAAATATTGACTCCTGAGTTCTATTCATAGATTCCCTTTGTGCAGGTTCAAGTAGGGTGGGATTTGGTAATTTATGTCTTTAATAAGTTCCCTAGGTGAATTTAATGCATGATTTCTAGGGAAAACACTTGCCTTTGGAAAAATGTACTGAAATTTCACTTTTCTTTTTGCTTCTCTTCTCGGTTGATTATCTTGTATTTTATGCAGCCAGGTTCCTTTTATCTTGAATTTCATTTTATCTTTTGTTATTTTAATTTTTGCCTTTAGTAAGTCTTATTTTTTAATGTAGAAAGAACGTTTAACATGATGTCTACAATATGATTTTAGAACAGACTTTTAATGTACAAGATAGTATTATGGATCATAAGCACAATGTTTACAGCATATCTCTAGAACCTAGTCATCTTATGTAGCCTGACTTCACTATTTTGGGATACCCCTGAATGTTTTGCTTTTGCTATAGTATCTCAATTCTTTAATCAAGTTATATTGTAGATAGGTCTACCAAAATGCATATATTCTGGTCCAATTTACTTTATTTAATTAATATATTCAAAAGATTTTCCTAAGAACATGAATTCAAAATTAACCTGAATTCTAACAAGATTCATAGAACATGTATCACTAAAGGAAATTAATAAAGAAAAAACTTAAGTCAGTTTTTACCAGGCCATTTTGGTAGAAGATGTTCATGAAGCAATACATGTTGAATGTGCCATGGAAATTGCTTCATTTCTAGAATCATTTGCCTTAATTGAAAATGCCAGTATAGTACCGTCAAAGGGATTATTGAAGAATAAGACAGGCTGAGCCTGGCAGAGGCCTCTTCTTGTGTCTTGTGTCTTATGTATCTGATTCACGATGCAAGGTTCCCGTTTTAGTTTCCTCATGTGCAGACCTGTGCGTGTGGTCACTAACCATTTACCGGAGGGAAGTGATTACATCTAAAAATAAAATATAACAAACCTGAGAGGAAGGCTAGGGTTTCAGCTCTGGAGTCTGTGAAGTTGTCAACAGTTTACTGTTAAATCTAAATATATGAAGGATAAATTGAGTCTTTTCATTGCTCTACTTTAGTTCTATATAGGATGTTTAATGATTACTTGGAATATCGTCCAAGGTGGGACAGAATTCAAGAGTAATGGGAGATTCAATAACAGATTTTAGAAACTCAAATGTATTAAGAATTTAGTCATTTCATCTTCATTTATCAATTTTACTATTATGGTGATGTTATAGGAAAAGTCGTATTTTTATGTTGTCATATTGCCAGTGAGCTTTAACTTGAATGTGATAGTTTCAGCTCAGTTAGCTGTGAAAGGAAGATGGGGGTAAAGACATGTATTAAATGTATTCAATGCTAGATAACTTAACATTTGCTTTAATCAATTGCATTAAACTGTTTATTCTGTGATTAAAACCTATGTATCAAATGCTTAGTTTCTTCTATTTTCCTTAATTTGTTCTTAGGCATAAGCATTAAATTATGTATAGAATTGATAAGGAAAAAAAAACAGAAAACCAGAGTAAAAAAAGAAAACAGGCTAAAGATGACAGAATGCCATATTAATAATAAAGTTTTAATTTAAAATTTCACATAAAATGTCAAGATAAAATATTATAAACAAACAGAAACTCTATTAAGCTAGTTTCCTATTAATTATAAGAAAAAGATACTTTTATGAAACATAGCTTTTACTGATTGAGAAATACCTTAATCTTAAACTGAGAGCAAAAACATTGCTATCTTATGAAGAATGTTGCATTTTTAAGAAATCCTCTAGTTTTCAGTATGGCACCAAGTGGAACTCCTAATGTTAACAAATATCCTTTACAATTTCTAAATTTGGAAAGTGGAGGAAAGCGTCACAATAATTAGATAAATAAGATAGCTCCTAACCAGGTTTCTTCAACTCCTTGGAAGAAACAGTTTTGGATCAAAGATACTTTTGGCAGTTTTTGTAATAAGGTAGCTGTGTTTCCATTTTTTTCTTTTTTGGTCCCTTTTTCATATTGTCTTTGTTTTATTCTAGATGCCCTTAGCTTATTTTTATTAACCAGTTTTTCTTCCAACCGAGGATATTAGAAATTGTTCTATCAGACCTACTGGCAAAGTATCAAGTGCTCAGGGGGGCTAAAGGTGACTGGTGACAATGAAATGAAGAAGCCTGTGTTCCCAATCTCCAACAAGTCTGTTTTAGCCTTTGAGAGCATGAAAAACATCTAACGGCTGTTGTGTCTCCATATATGAAAAGCAAACAGACAAATCAGTTCTATCTGTGATAAATGTTGCTTTTTACCTTCCCCAAGTGTAGTCTTGATTTTTGTCACCAATAGGCAAGAAGACAATTTTCCTTGATCTGGGTTAGAGAAGACCAATAAATAAAATTTCTATGCAATGAGGCAGATTTTATTGGGATTTTACAGGTATACTTATTCCACATATATTATGTATATTCATTCCTATGCATATTGACAAGAGGAGATAGCTGTTGTGATTGTGCAGGGGATAGTGCTCACCCTTGTTCTCTTCTTGTCTTATACTCTGCAGGATCTAACCCATGTCCATGTCTTTAAATACTATTTATATGTCAGTAATTCCCAAATTTACTTCATAGCCTGGATCTCTCTTTTGAGTTCCATTCCCTTATTTTTTTCTTTCTGTCTTTTTGATAAAGAATTTTGAATTGACATATAATATTTGTACATATTTATGAGGTATGGTGTGGTAACTCGATAGATGTACTGTCTGTAATGATCAAATTGGGTAACTGGTGTTTTTATATCCTTAAACATTAACTGTTTATTGCAAATTTTGAATGCCTACTTTCTAACATCTTATAAAATTTATAAAAATTTTTCAACTATACTCACCCTACTGTGCTGTAAAACATTAGAACTTGTTCCTCCTATTTAATAATATTTTGGTATCCATTATTCAACTTTCCCCTATTTTCTGGCCCCTTACCCTTCATAGCCTCTAGTGACCACTTCAATGAAAACAATTTTTTAAGCTTTAACATATGAGCATAAACATTCAGTACTTGTCTTTCTGTGCCTGGCTTATTTCACTTAACACAGTGTAGTCCAGTTCCTCCATGTTGCCACCAATGATAGAATTTCATGCTTCTTTATGGCTGAATAAGATTACATTTTATAATTACACCACATTTTGTTTATGCATTCATCTGTCAATGGACTATTTGATTGATTCCATATCTTGGGTAGTGAATAGTGCTACAGTTCACATGGGAGTACAGATATCTCTATTATTATTATTATTATTATTACTATTACCATACTAGGGATTGAACCTAAAGCCTCATGCATACTAGTAAAACTCT